ATTTTTTCCGATAAATCCGTTTATTTCCATTTGTACCGAGGCAATTGTTATTGGGTCTTTTAACAGTATTCCTTTTTCCGAGTATCGGGGAGTTAGCCCGATGACTCAACCCCCAACCTGGAGGACCGGGGTTTGATTTCGGAGTTTCCTCTCCTAGACAGGTTGCTTCCACTACAGCTGAGAGCCCTGTCTGCCCTTCCAATGGGTGGTTCATACGCCTTGAAGCCGGTGACCATCTCCACTACCCCATGAGGCAGGGGTTACCAGCTGGGGTCCGCAGGATTGCTAAACCTGTGACATCAGTCCCCCATACGGGCACTTCCCCCATAGCTGTACTTCTTTAACACTAAAAAATTTTTAATTGCATTTTGACGTTTAAGATTTGATTTGACTGTTAGTCACACAGTCCTAAAAAATGTGTCCATAAGAGTTATGTATATAGTCTTGATCGAGACTAATGTCTTAAAAACCTACTGGAACAACCTATATTCGGAGTGTGGAGCACCAAAACTAGGACCATTGAATTACGAGAAAATATATAAAATTTGAAGAAATTCAAAGTGGAAATAGTCTGAATACTAGTCATTTCGACTCGTCTAGGGCAAGCTACGGTTCTATTTTGGCCATGTAAGTGTATTCACGTTTGTTATAGGTTACGCTAATCACAAAAAATTAAACTGTCAATACCGTGATTTCCTCAGCCATTCAATATTAATCGAAGAAGTAACGTTTATCTTCATTCTCGTCGATTGCTTTGACTTTGACATGGCTTAACATAAACGGAGTAGGATCTCCCTATTTTCAACCTTTTCATATTAGGAAAAAAACTCAAAGGCTGTTGGCTCGAGTCCTTGTTACCCTTAAAAAGGTCTCAACCGCGGGAAAATATTTCTCATAATTATGACTGTCAGCGGTTCAAAACAGTTTTGACCATATCTGAATAACTGACCTGTAATAAATTCCAGTTGGCTATGACCAAAATGTTTATTTAGATCGTAAAAAACTGAGATAAATTTCTTTGCGCTCAGTTTGCAGTTCATTGTCTTCTTGGTTTGAAATAGGACACAACTCAACGAGTGCTGTGTGCACACACTTTTCTAAGATTGACTTGAGGGAGCAAACATTCATGTCTAACTTTTGCGAACTCCCTCCTCGGGCTGTCACAGTCAGTTAAGGAACTTTCATCGACTGAAATTCCTCAAGAGCTGCAATGAAGTATGAAATAGAATGAAAGATGGGGCATGATATTCATGATGAAGCACGAACGCAGTAGATAAAGAGGCGGCCATTTTGAGGCGTAAGCTTTGTGTTTTGCCTACTTTTCGATATCAAGGAGGTTTTTAGTCCCTGACATGTGAAGCGCAGTTGAAGGTGGAAACACGAACGAGCTTCTCTCAAGATTCAACTTCCTTCAAATGGTTATAGGGCATTCCTATCTTAACGGAAGAGATTCTTGCATCATTCATTGCATCTGCACATTTCATGTCCAAATGTTCTTGTGATGATTTTAATCTAAAACCAGTAATGCATTTTTCAAATTACAATGAGCATCCCTCATTCATTGTGGAAGGAAGCAGAAATAGTCTCCTGATATTTGAACTCTAGGGATAATTTTTTGAAATTCAATGATTACAGAGCAGGTTAAAATTTCGTGAATGGGTGAAATTATCATGATTAACTCTCATCGTTACTCGATTGACGAACATCTCATTTAGTACTTACAACGCAGGAGCAGCAGTTGCAAGCTCGCCAAATAATTCAATACGTATAGCTCTGGGCCCTTCTAAAAACTTGATATAGATAGAGTTACCTCGTAAATGCGGCTGTACTCCCGTCTAGGAGCTATCTTCCATTGCAATTGAGGGGAACAATGCGCGGTAGCAAATACTGTGGTTTCGAGCAAGCAACTACAGCGCGGTCTACCTTCATTTGAGCGATCAAGCGAAAACAGATTCTACGTGTCTTAATAGTCGTGTCTTTAAACATTGTCTTGAAAGATTCGGTTTCTTGCAAGTTCTCAAATCCACACCCAACAAAACTCATTACTCGTGTCTGGATAACGTTGCCGCAATTATAATATTGAGGAGAGGAGGAGTGCAGTTTTTCTGGGTTTCCTTGAATGGTTATGCTATGTAGACGGTGTAAATCTGCAACCACGTATCTCGGATCGCGACATTGGAAACTACCTGTCCTGCTATACTTTATTCTTTAAATGGAAAACTACTCAACAGCAATTCTTAAAAACTGCCGTGCTTTTTCTTCCCTGTGCGAAGAAAATTCAGTAATAAGTAATGATGTTGACTTGTTCTCCCTAAAAAAAAGAAAAATGAAATTAGGAGCGAAGATTTTAAAACAACGCAAACAAGATACGTGATTGCGGACTTTCACCGTCGGACTTATGTACTTTCATCATAAACGAAGAATCGATAGTGCTTAGTTCTCTAAGATCCTCGTAGAATTCCACGGCTCACAAAGGATCGAGTCAACAGGAGAGGTCGGACAAAATTTGGAAACTCGAAACGCTTACAATTCCGTTCATACGAAACTTTTCTTTAAGAAGCACCCCTAAAAATTTAAAAATGTGACGAATTAAACATCAAAATTTGCAGTTTCAGTCAAAAAGTTTATGTCCGACCACTCTGATTGACTCGATCCACTGTGCGGCTGCGCTGCACCACGGGTGAAGCGGTGCGGTGACTCGGTGAGTGCCTGGAAAGTCAAAACGCCTTCAACTTTGTAAGTATGCAACGCGGACATCCTTGGAGCTCGAATAGTTGCATCCAAGCGATATGATAAAATTCGTTAAGTATTCGTCGCATGCGATTTTAACCAAGGGCTGAGGGCACTTTGCTTGTTTTTTCTTACCCCTCCGTTGAATTCCAGCGTTGCCTATTGCACCGATGAAGTAAACCGTCGCTAATTTTTATCACGACACCGTCAGTTTTCTAGTAATTGCTTTGATTCTTTAAATGTATCTCAACGTTGCCGGTTCTCGCTCTTCGAGATCGCAAAAAATACAGGTATCTATACATGATTTGTAGAATTTCCATTAACCCTCTTTAACAAGTCATCCTTAGTTTGATTTTTATTCCCTTTTGGACAAATACATTTACTGTTTAAGTATGAAATTTTCAAGGAACATTTCTGTCAAAAGGCGCCGAGTTCGAAAGCATCTTATCCTTGCCAAAGGCGATTCTTGAAAGTTACCAACACTATTTTCCCTCTGTATGCAAAGCAATCGATTCTTGGCGAGGCAGCTTGAGTCATCTAATATCGATATTTTCAATGGATTGAAATTGAGGGAAAATAGTGTCGCCAACTTGCAAAATTGCTACTGTTCCTCGCAATCTATAAGAGTTATTTCCAAATATGAGGATTGCAGACAGTTTTTTCGCTCTCCTGAGAAATCGGATTTTCTGAAATACTCGGTTGAGGACTTGTACCATCAATATATCGTCGCCCCTCTGGTGTAAGGACGTATCTCGATTTCCACGTGAATCCTGTCGTCCATATAACTCCATGCTCTCCAAGGCTTATGTCCAAATCGAAATAAGCCCTTACGTCAAAGAAGCGACGCTACAGGGCCTCCCAAGGAAAGGAGCTGTTTATAGAGCGACTATGAATACGACCCTTAGTTCCATTCAGAGCCATTCACCACCTGGTAAAAATGATTCGATGAACGTGTGTATGTGCTGCAGAGCGACTAGAAACCGTCACCTCTCGCACGAAGATACCTAACTCCACTCCAAGGTTGTCAAATTGACTCAAAAAATTCAAATTTTTCCTAACGTACTTGTGCAATTTTCCTCAAAATGTTTCTGATTTTTGTTCGGGATCAGAAGAAGAAAAATCAGGGAAATTTCCAGTTCGAAAAGCCCAAGATTTTCCTCGGAAAAGTGCAATTTACGAGGGGAAATTTGTCAAAATTAAAATGTAGTTGCGTTCTTTCGTGGGGGAAGCGACGAAACGAGGACCTGCCGACAATAATTTGGACGCAGGTGTGAGAGTAATCAAAGCTCGACGGCACAGCGGAGGAAATGTGGGGAATGTCGGAGACGCGGGAAGTCTTGGAGGAGTGGCGTGGCGTGCTTTGCGATAAATCGATTTTTCTCTCATTTAAACCTATGGAAAAGGATCGCTAAACGGGGTCTTTGCAACGAACACTGTTAAAAATCGATTCTTTACCGCGGCTTTAAATGGAGAAATATCGATATTCGATCGTTCACGCCTCGCTTTGAAGATGAGGTCTGTCCGTCCGGAGCCGACGCTGTCTCCGATCGATTTTTCTCTCATTTAAACCCATGGAAAATGATCGATAAACAGGGTAAACCCTAATAATCGATTATTTACCATAGCTCGAATGGGGAAATCTCGATATTTGCAGTGGCGTGGCGTGAACTGCGATGTATCGATTGTTATGCCGTTTAAACCTATGGAAAAGGATCGATAAACAGGGTGTTCGCAGCGAACACCTTAATAATCGATTCTTTACCATAGGTTTAAATGGCATAACAATCGATATATCGCAATTCACGCCACGCTACTGGATATTTGATCGTTTACGCCTCGCATTGAAGTTGGGGTCTGTCCGTCCGGAGCCGACGCTGTCTCCGAGTTCCCTCCCCGAGCCGTGAGCTTGGCATCGCGTCGATCCCTCCTGCTTTTCCACCGAAAGCTCTATCTCCGACTCGGGCTCTGTCATCAGCGAGGCGAGCTTTTGACTCAGTCGAGCATCGCTCCCCGCCGGCTACTCTCGCTCCTTGAGTTCCGCTTCCGCGAGGTCTCGGTTTCGCGCGACACGATTTTTCGCGGCAGTTGACAATTGCCGACTCCTCTCCCTCCTCCCCCGCCCCTCCGCCTCCTCTCTTGTTTACACCCCTCCTCCCTCGGCGGCGCCTAATTAAAAGCTCAGAGGCTCCGCCTTTACCTCTGTCATTTTCTTTCAATTACCGCGAATTCTCCCAACCTGATTCGGTTTATTTGAGAACTTAAACGAATCCGATTTTTCGCTTCTTTCCTTGGCGCTCGGTTGATTTGCGTCCGTAGCTTCAATACCTTGGGAATTTTGTGCGCGGCGAGTACGTCTCAATTGTGCCTCTTGCGTGCCTACCTGAATTTTTTTTAAACAATTTCATCCAAGGTTCGCGCACATTGGATCACTCACTTATTTGTATTTACCTGCATTTTTTTTAAACATTTTCATCCAAGGTTCCCGCACATTGGATTACTCACTTATTTGTATTTATTTTTTTCCTTTCATACCCCAAGCTCTTCTTAAGTTTTTGAATGCGGCGATAGTTGTGACGAAAAGCTGAATCGGATAATACTTCATTAACCAGGTTAGTCAATGATTTTATTTCATGAGACTTGAATCGGTTGATTATAGTGTGGATAGGGTGGGGTATTTGTTATGACTAAATAGAGAATTTGCAGATGTCTGAAATTTTGTGAATTTCAAAATTCAAATAAAACTGCTAAGATAAGTGAGCGCAAGGGTATCCTTGATATCTAAATTGAAAAATTATTGGAAGAACTTATGACAAGATAACTAAATTTTCTAAAATACATGTGTTTAAATGGGAAATGCCGCCAGATGACGTCACAAGGCAGCGCATTTTCTCACTTTTAAATCTTTTTTTATACAATTTCCCATTTCAGAGAAAAATTATGAAAAGTACTGCGAACTTAGTTCATTAAGGACTTTTAGATAAAGTAATACAATTTTCGTGCGCAAATTCTCCATTGCGTCAATTTTTCCGTGAAAGTCTTAAACTTGGCTTGATTTTGGGTCAATATTGAGCCAGCGCTAGAGGAAAAACATGAACCCAGTATACTGAAAAAAGATCAGTTAAACCGAACTAATTAGGATGGTATGGAACCAGGATTTGTTTGGTACTTACAACCAGATTATTCGGTCTGTTGAACCGAACTATAGGAATTTGTAACAGTTCAGGCACACAAACCGAACAGTTTGGTTGAACAGACCGAATAATTCGGTTGTAAATACTGAACAAATCATAGTTCCATATCATTCTAACTAACTCGGTTCAACCGAAATTTTTTTTCAATGATATGATAGGTTTTAATGAATATTTATTTATTCATTATTTTGTTTGAATTTTGTAAACGTATAGTCAGTATTAACATTGAAAGTATTGTAGCGTCTGTAACTCAGTATTTTTTCAATATTTTGTATATATTTCGTCATAATTTTTATTCAAGATTTAAATAACGATACTCCATAATGATTTCATTCAAATCGCCTGATTTTCGTGTTACGCGTGCTTAATTTACCTGCAAAAATTGACAATTTTAAGACAATGTTTTGACTAATCACACGTTACCGTCTCAATTGTATTGTTTAATCATGATGTTTTATCCAACGAGCTAATGTTTTTTTACATACTGAGGAGGCCGTTGGATAAATGAATTTTTTTTTTAAAAAATGAGCATTAATTGTTTCAGTAATATAAGAGATAGTTTTGGAGTTTGTTTATTTATATGTGGCTGTCCATAAAGCAAAAGGACCTCAATGAACTTCTCGTCAGGGTGAGTCGGAAAATAATTGGCGTTTCAGTTTTGGACGGAAGACTCAATAGTCTCCAAAATAACATTAAAAATAGTTGAAGAAAGTATGCAAACTTATTAGTAAACTTTTTGGCCGTTGAAGGGCGTGGAATTAAATTTGAACCCGACAGCCAAAGTCAAGTACACCTTTAAAATAGCTTTATCTGAAAACCATATTATCTGAACCGCAAACTTCAAACCGCCAGAACTCCGTTTCGCGGTTTGAAGATGTCAAGCAATTTTAGAGATTAAATGTTTGCGAACGTTCCTCAAAAACTGATCTGATGCACCAATACCTCACTTTTGAATTTCGGTGTCTCCTTCTCTTTTGGGTGGTCATAGGTTTGTTCAGTTTGTCATCTAGAAATTAGTTGATCGAATTGAGTAAATAAATTATCAACGAGTGAAAAATTGGGTTTTACGAGTGCCTTTGAAATTTTTCCCGTAGATCTTCGACATAAATACGTTTTTCCAACGATTACTTTAAATAATCATGAAGTTCAATTTTGTCCGAAATTTAAACCTAAAACTGCGAGTCAAGTGAATCATAAATAAAAAAAACTTGTTGAAGAAGTTGCCGTAATTAAATTGTGGAGACCGTGGGACACAATGGACAGCAGTGGGAGACGAGTAATTCAGAGGGGAATTGCATAGCATGAATGTGCACCGAGATTTTTGCAAGGGACAAAGGACTATACGGGAGTCTGGTGGTGCTGGGCGGTCACATTCGATCACAATTTTCCACCACTGAAAGAGGATGGGAGCACATGGTGGCAGTACCCGTATCTTACCCCGCGACTCAGCAAAATTCATTTCATTTTTATGTGCTTGAATGTCCCGGCACCCCTAAAACCCGTTTTATTCTCGCAGCTGTTTCGGCGCCCCATTAGTTTTAATGCAGCAAATACCGCTGTTCAGAGCAGGAAGCTGTGATTCTGTTTTTATTATTTACAATTAATTTTTCTCTGATAGAATGTTTTACCTTCCGAATATCCAAATGCGTCCATAAATTACTTTGTCAATATTTCTCAAAAGAATGACAGACATTTGACGGTAAATTGATGGACAAAGTACGGTGCAGTTGCTTGTTAATGATAATTATTAACGTTGCTCCTATCAATATATGGGAAGTAATACACCAAGTGACACTAACCGTTGATAATTTCAGGTTGTCCTCGTCGGGCTATTATTGTATCTCAATAATTACAGAGATATCGACCTCAGCTAGGGTTACCTCGTGTTCCACCTCTTTTATAGCTGCACTTTCTACCGTGCTGACCATAGTTGACGGGTAATATGGAAAATTTAACGTCATTTTGCACATAGAAACTACTATTTCTGGCTCATCCGTAAAAACACTTATGTGAGTAGGGAAACTGATGGCACATACGTTTTTCTAAAACTGAGCCAGAAATTGTTGTTCCTAAATTTTAAAATGGAGTCTAGTTGTCAGATTTGATCAGCAAGGCAATGAAAAAGTGCAGGGAGAGATTTTTTGATAGGCACTGTTTCATAGTCTATGCTCGAATCACTCATTTATATACATACGCTCGAGCTACACTGCCGTGCCAAGGAAGAACGCCGTATGAACTTTCGAGAGTTGCCAAATTTCCTCCGATAAAAACCGAATTCACTGGGACAAATCGGAATATTGTATTGTCCTTGTTTTCCTCGGACGAAGTAACATGGCCGGAGCCGAGTAACAACCAAATGATCAAAAGAAGATGTCATCTTAAACACGCTGGGCAAAATCTCGTAAAATAGTAAAATGATTATCGGTTCAGAAACAAAGAATAATGGCGCTACTATCCAGTGAATGTGTTCATGCGTAGGCTGACACGTCCCTCATTTTCTTGTACTCGTCATAAGTATTTGATTGATAGTAACGCCTTGTCTCCACGGGCCGTTTCACGGGATTTGTCCCAGGGAAAAATCCCACTTACGAAGTTGGGAAAAATATTGAGTTACTCAATATTTTCCCCGGTACCAAGTATGGTCCTTTACCCCTAGAACTCACGGGGAGAGGAAGAAGAAGTGAAAACGAACTGTGCGATATTTTATTCATTACTCCATTGTTAATGTTTTTTTAGTTAAAATAATGTGTCTAATTGTCAATTGAGTGCAATTATTATTTTAATCCCGGTTAAATAATCGACTTTAACTAATTTATCTTCCCGCGCAAACTAGTCGCAGGACCGTATGAGCCCCGTCCCGTGGAGACGGTAAGTGGGAAAAATCCCAGAAGTTTCCTTCCTGCGATTCGAACTTGGGACAAATCCTATGAAAACGTCCCGTGGAGACAAGGCCCATAATTTATCATGAACGAATTATATTCTTCATAAAAAATACTTCAAGTCATTTTAGTCACAAAGACAGAGTGGCATTGAGGGGCTTGGGGGACAAGGCGCATGAGTGCGCTTTTTGAAAAAAAAATTGAGATGTTAATGATTTCAAGTAAAACTGGTCTTAGCGCATATTCTATGGAAAATTCCCTCCCAAATTCCATTGATTAGCCATCAAAAAGTCAGATTGAACTTTCGCTCCGCCATAAGGATCCATGTAATTTCGAAACTTCAAACACGTATTTCTCGAAATGGCAAAAACTGCACATATGCGCCTTGTCAAAGCCCCTCAATTATTCTAATATTCTATGTAATGCAATTCTTAAGTGAACAAAGGCTTTAACAATAAGTAAAGCGATCCACTGCAATTACAATAATTGCAATGCCACTCGATAGACTTCACGGATCGACTGGCTCATGACTTCATATGCTCAATTTTCTCGGTGAGGACACGTCCCACCTCGTATGAGTATTAATAATTCACGAGATGCAGGTCAAAATTAGCTCCAACTGCCGCAGACAAAATCAAACTGTATCACGCAACAGTCGCAGATCACCTCTTTGAAGTTGGATTTCATTGAACTTAAGAGGACTAATCATTAGGCCAGCGGCAACTTCGCAGCCATATCAAAACTTGGAATTCGATCAGGAACTAGGTGATATCTCTAGGAGATCTTTCGAAATTCACATTCTGCAACACATCAAAGGGTTCTTTGTTGTCCTCACTCTCCTGAATGTAGTGTTTTCAAGTGTAGTTTTATGTGATTCAGGTGTATTAGAATTGTTGTCTTTTTTTACCCAGGAATATTGTAAAAATATTCATAATTAAAAAATGATTCCTTCGCCATGTGGAGTTCATTACTAAATTTGGAAGGCCTCTAATCAAAGCAATACCGTTTACCAAGTATCATTTTTCAACGGATAAAGCGCGATATTTTGATATTAGGATTGAGCTTTATTTACGATTTTTTGGCGAAAGTATTGCTAGGAGCATCAACAATTGAGCAATTATCCTCGATCCTGTCTCAATTTAATCTCCACAAAACTGTGTTTGATAAAATCGCAATTTTATTCCAATGAATCACAATTTTTCTATTATAATATTGCGATGAATCGCCGTCGATAAAATCGCGATATATTCTCCGGTTAGATCAAAATTCATCGCGATCACTGCAATTAGGGATACACGAGAGGGCTTAAATAATCATCGGGAGGATTGAGCAAGTCACTACATCGTTGAAAAGTACGATTTACTTAAACAAATATGCGGTGTAGAAAGTGTTTTAAGATGGCAAGGTCTTGAGTTGTTCTCGTATGGACACAGATACGAAGTTGGTTGGTGCCTATCTTTTATCAAATTTTAGTGAATAAAACACACATCGACGGTGTAAGTCGGCAATCACATAACTCGGTTTGCGACGTTGAAGAAT